AAGCTCAGAAATTGTAGACGGAAATTTTCCGGAAATCAATATCACCACGTCGTCCGCGTAAGCTACAACTTTGATACCTTCCCCGTCCAATTCCCTCAATACGATATTAATTACCAGTAGCCATAGTAACGGCGAAAGCACCCGTCCTTGAGGTGTGCCTCTAGTTACCGTTTTCCTGATTTTTGTATCCCCCACACTTGAATTTATAATTCTGCTGTTAAGCATTTTATTTATCCAATATGTCAGGGTATCAGGAATGCCAACTTCCCTAAGTGAGTGGTTTATGGATTCAAGTTTTACGTTGTTAAAGGCTCCCTCTATATCTAAGAAGGCGGCCAGCGTAAAATTTGAGTTTTCCATGTTCCTCTCAATATAGCCCACCACTTCGTGCAGTGCAGATTCCACAGACTTGCCCTTTATGTATGCGTGTTGTGAGCTGCTGAGAGAAGTGGTGTCTATACGACTCCTAATCTCCAGGTCGATCAGTCTTTCGAGAGTCTTGAGGAGAAAGGATGATAGACTAATGGGTCTATAGTCTTTTGGTGCAGAGTGGCTTGGTTCCCTGCTTTGGGAATATAAGTGACCTTTACCTCGTTCCATAGATCCGGAACACACGAGAGAGTCAGACACGCAGTGTAAATCTTCTCAAGGATCAGATAAATACTTGGCGAGGCATATTGAAGCATCGCCGGAAGAATACCATCCGGTCCTGGCGATTTATAAGGCTTAAATGTGTTGACCGCCCATCATATCTTATTTCTGTTAACCACCCTGCTAATGAAATCCAGATCCGGGGTGGCAAAAGGCCGAGTGTGTCCTTGCAACCCGGGAAATGAGTCTCGGCTAGGAGATTTAGAGTCTCAGAACCTGAGTCCGTCCACGCTCCATCTTGCTTCTTAATACTACCGATGGACTTCGGGTCCTTGGATAGTAGTTTTCGAAACCCAGCAGCGTCGTTGACTCCTTCTATCGACTCACAGAAACTTACCCATGACTTTTTCTTCGCGCGTTTTATCTCACTCTTGTATTTATTGAAACTAACTCTATAGGAGTTCCAATCAGTGTCGAGTTTAGACTTATGCGCCCCGTTATACAGTCGTCTGGTCGCTTTCCTGAGCTCACCAAGTTCCTTGTTCCACCACACTGGCCGAGATTTCTTCCCAGGATGTGTGAGCGGACAGGATTCCTTACAGCAACATAGGAGAACGTCCGTTAGATTTTTCATGGCCCCGTTGAGTTCCACAGCTGTTCCTAAGTTTGTGTTAAGAGTCAGCTGGGAGTTCGTTAGCTCCGTGAATTTCTTCCAGTTTGTTCTCCTTGGATTCCGATAAGGCTGTTGTCTATCTCCGTCAAAAGAGTACTCGAAGAGAATCTTTAAATGATTCGAGAAGGAACATTCATCAGATACCCTCCAATTTCTGATGACGGAGTCGTCTAGATTTGAGAGGGTTAAGTCGATGACCTCCTCTCTACCCCTAACTTTAAAAGTCGGGTCACTACTCCTATTACATATACGTAAATCATAGAATAAAATGAAATCAAAATCGGACTCACCTTGTTTCTTTGTGTCCTTGCTACCCCATTGAAAATGGTGAGCATTTGCTTCGCATCCCAAGATAACATTGCAGGTGCTCATCATTTCATCTTCCGTACACATGTGCCTGGTGGATCCCTCTCCTCAAAGGGCATATAGACTGAGGAGAGCAGGGTGGCCTTCCCCGTCTTGTGCTCGAGTCTCACAGTGCACATGTCACCATTGCTGTAATTAGATAGATAGATTAAATTTAAGCTCTTCTTACCTACTATACATGTTCTCACCTTGTCCCCCGTGGACGTGGCGAAGATATCAAAGTTAGCATTCCTTAGTCCAGAAACCATATTTTTATAAATATATGGCTCCTGAACTAAGGCAATGTCCACTTCCACTTCGTGAGGGACAGGAGTAGTTCGGCGGCTGCGGCCTTGCAATGATGTAGATTGATCTGCATTATGCGCAGCCTACGCCGCTTCCCCACTCCTACTGAGTTTCGGTGGATGTGTTCAGTCGAAACCGAACCCATCCTGAACCGAAGTTCAGTTTTCCCTCACGCTCCCTGAGATATTTCTCCCCTGGTGGGTCAACCGCCACCATACCACCATTCTCGTTACAGGGAGTTAGATTGACCACAATCCAACTCGATGTAGTGAGGCTGGGGTTTTGTAGCGCCAGCATCTTCAGCAGGAGCTCCTTATCCACAGAAGGTGGGGGAACCCAGGCCGAAAGGACCCGTCTTGTCGGGATTTCTGCTAGGGAGACCGCTGCAAGGTTAGCTCCTTCCCAGAGCGCGCCAAAGCCACTAACGGTTTCCACAAGGAAATCCTAGGATTTCTTTTTTAAACAGTTAATGACTTTGGCAACCTTCTGCATGAAGGCACTACCAAACTGTCGGTCCCCTTGGTCCGTCCTGCAGACGATAGCCGACCGAAGGGCTCCTTCAAATAGCAGCCAATGACTCTCACTGATTCTACCCTGAGGATCAGCTTTGTCTATGATTGCCACAAGAAGGTCTTCATCGGTGGCTACCTTAGTTGGTCTATCATACGGCTTACGTCGTTGACTACGAGCCTTGGAGGTCGCCTTTTCAGAGGAGGTTGAAGCCTTCTCCGTACTCGGTCGTTTCTCCGCAGTTTGTAGTCCAACACAAGCCGCATAGGAGGTAGAAGGATCTACCAGACGAGAAGTCATCGTCTTCTTGGGTGAGGGTTGAGGACCCTCCGAAGAGCGGATACGCTTCACAGATTTATTCTGTGGGGCGACATCTGCTCTCCCAGCAGACGATGGTTCCTTCGCTGACTTCCCCTTCTTCCTGTTTCGTAATTTAATAATAAATAATGCTCTTAACATAAAACGTCTTTTTTCTAGTGTTGGAGGATTAATTAACAATAAGCGACTTTTATAAGGTGGAAGTAATTCCGATGAATTCCAATTTAGGCCACCCAAGGCAAAGAAACTAAACTTGAACTGACTCAATTATATCACAGTGACATTTATAAAACGGACTCAAAAGAATGCAACCATATTCTAGGACTGGGCGGACAATACTAACAAATAATCTTTTGGTATCTTAAGGGTCATCAAACTCTTTAGACCAGCGTTTAATGAAACATAATAAAGTCTTGGCTTTATTAACACATGAATCGATATGAAGATGAATTTATTATTTTATTTAAAGGAATACACATGTTCAAACGTGTTGCAACATTTACGAGCTTATACGAGCTAGTCCAAATAGTGCGACTTTTTAGATATGTCGATGGAGATCTCAATCTGGAATTTCATTCACCATAACAGATCCGAACATAAGAGAGGAAATTAGTGATGGAATATGTCGAATGATAGCGCCAGCACAAAAAACGTCCTATCCTCGCGAATTCGCATTATTAATTGTCTACAAAGCAATTAGTCTGAAAAACACGATTCTTCGTTTAAACTCCGTTTAATTTCCGGAAATAATTTGAAATAGGGCGACAGAAATCCTAACCCCTTTACATATAAGAAAGTCGACGGAGTAATTGGCAGAGACCCCCAGAATTAAATAATGCACGGTTCTTGGGAAATATCTAAGCGTAATCCCAATGATATCCGACAAAATACCATTTTTTGGAGTAGTCCTTAAAGAGAATGTGCTCGAGTTATCATCCCCTTTTTGGAGTCTTTCTGTCCATTAGTGCGTCATTTACATTCTCTAGCTTAACCACAATTAATTAGCCTTAAATAAATTTATTAGTCTTAAATATCATGAATTCCTAATTTTAGTACATTTGACCATACTTAAATGATGGTCTCTCCAACAAGTCTACAACCAAAAGAAGGTCCATAGGACGAGAATAAACCAAATTAACATCTACCAGACGAAAACTTGGCATTTGTTATACGAGTTTGTGGGATCGCACTGACATCCAATATTCAAGAAACAAAATTTACTAGTATTGGCTTAAATTGCGCAATTCACCTCAGAAATTTAGGGATTAGCGACGCGTTGTAAATCGGCCTTTGTTGTTTTAAAATTATATTTTTTCTGGTATTTTGAATTTTTTGATTATTATTTTTATTTTCCCTAGCTTAAATTTTTTTGAAAAACACTGCACTCACCTATCTTTTGTTTGAATGATGGATTTTAATAATGATGAACAAATTCTTAGAAAGTTTTTTCAAAAGGCTCGTGTCTGTTTCGAATGCATCAAAATGCAAAAGAGCCGTTTCGAAAATTAGACACGAACGTTTTTGTTTTTGTTTCAATAATTTAATGACAAAAGTAAATAATATAAAAAGGAGAAAATTAAATTGCGCAGTTCACCTCAGAAATTTAGGGATTAGCGACGCGTTGTAAATCGGCCCTTGTTGTTTTAAAATTATATTTTTTCTGGTATTTTGAATTTTTTGATTATTATTTTTATTTTCTCTAGCTTAAATCTTTTTGAAAAACACTGCACTCACCTATCTTTTGTTTGAATGATGGATTTTAATAATGATGAACAAGTTTAATAATGATGAACAAATTCTTAGAAAGTTTTTTCAAAAGGCTCGCGTCTGTTTCGAATGCATCAAAATGCAAAAGAGCCGTTTCGAAAATTAGACACGAACGTTTTTGTTTTTGTTTCAATAATTTAATGACAAAAGTAAATAATATAAAAAGGAGAAAATTAAGAAGAACAGATTACCTGTGTTACGATTGGCGATCTATCATATATATTATACGTTAATAAAGTTATATAGTGATAAAAATAGGGTCACCTTAGATCGTAATTGAGCTCATACGTATACAAATTGAAGACTCGTACATAATTCGTGAATATTGAAATCATGAACAAACAATAAAATATAGAATAGGTACATGCCGAAGATTTTCATTAATAGCACTACATATTAATTACTTTGTTACCTACTACCCTTATAGTTCCAACAATTATCAACAACAATTATCAAATACCTAATATTGTTAATATTGTTTTACTTACAGGAATCTATGGTTCTGCGCCATCATAATGAAGCTGAAAGCCTGCATGCAGTTCAATTAATGGATTGGGAACTTGCACTTAAAAAATATGAACTCATTGATCTCGAGAGACAGCATAAAATTGATAGTGAACATGTTCCAATAGTTCATGTTAACGACGATTTCGATTTATTACCCGCTTGAACATAATATGTATGTTATTTCACAAAATAAAAAGTTCATCGCCATAGAGTGGTTGTTTTGTCTTCTGATTTAGGCAAAATTATATAGATATTGTAAGAGAGCTGAGGATATCTTCTACAAACTTTAGTTAATTTGTATTCCCAATATAGATAGCTTCATCCTTCGGCCCATGAATACCAAGCCTGTTTCTCTATTAATTTTTTTCAGTTATGATATAAATGAGAAATAAAAACAATTGTATTTTCTTAAAATACATACGTGGAAAAAATTTATGTGCTTAATTCACCTCTTTACAATCGATTCGAAACATGGCCTATATCAAGGCCTATATAAGGTCGGCCAGTAAGCGAATTCGTAGAGAAAACTTAAGTTTAACGTCAATTTTTTTTTTGCCGAGGCGAAAACTAATTGTTTCGCCTTTAAATGAAAAACACAGCCAAAACACAACACAATCTATAATTTGTAGGATAATTTACTTGAAAATCTTCTTTAAACTTTTGAAATAGTCAAGATGTGCTTCGCAAAGACAATATGTATAGGTTTCAAAATATGATTTGACAAGAAACTTTATACTCACCTGTGTTTACTGGCCGACCTTATATAGGCCTTGATTCGAAAGCTATGAATCAAGGTATATTCATAAGGTTAACAGACAGGCGTATTCATGTCTCAGCCTTCTCTCACTGTCAACATTTTAATCGCGAAATACCAACCAGAACAGGATAAAAACTAAAAATATCCTTCTGGAAAACGTAATTATAGTAATGTGCACATATGTATATTTTGGTTGGAATAAAAATATTTTTTGTTTATTTATTCTTCAAATATTAAATTTGACAGTCAACGCCTCCCTGTTAACCTTGTGAATAAACCTGCTATGAATCGAATAAGTGATTTTGACATTTTCGTTCTTATAACGTTCGTTATAGTGAAACCCATTTGGTGAGAAATTGTCTACTCTTACGTGTTCTTTCGATTATTCCGCACTGGAAGTGGCCACCACTTTCTGGTTTTTAAACTCCCAAGATACCACACCACCACCTCCAAGAAGAAAACAGAATCCAGATTGTGAGCCCAATTGGCATCGAAAAATCATTCTGAAACAGCTGAAGTTTCATTTCATTATTAGATATTTAAGTACGTGTATAGCTGCATTATAATTAGACCTCGGATTTTTGCATATTTTTTATGCTTTATCCGATTGGACTCAAATTTTGTATTTAGGCGTTTCATGCTTTAATTGATCGATATTTGGGGTCATGTCAAAAATATGCAAAAAATATGCAAAAAATATGCAAAATATATGCAAAAAATATGCAAAATATATGCAAAAAATATGCAAAATATGCAAAAAATATGCAAAATATGCAAAAAATATGCAAAATATGCAAAAATATGCAAAATATGCAAAAAATATGCAAAATATGCAAAAATATGCAAAATATGCAAAAAATATGCACGGTATGCTAGGTCGATAAATATATGCAAAAAATATACAAAATATGCATTGTCGATATGCAAAATATGCAAAAATATGCAAACATATGCAAAATATGCAAAAATATGCAAAATATGCAAAAATATGCAAAATATATGCAAAATATGCAAAAATATGCAAAATATGCAAAAATATGCAAACATATGCAAAATATGCAAAAATATGCAAAATATATGCAAACATATGCAAAATATGCAAACATATGCAAAATATGCAAAAATATGCAAAATATGCAAAAATATGCAAAATATGCAAAAATATGCAAAATATGCAAAATATATGCAAACATATGCAAAATATGCAAACATATGCAAAAATATGCAAAATATGCAAAAATATGCAAAAATATGCAAAATATGCAAAAATATGCAAAATATGCAAAATATATGCAAAATATGCAAACATATGCAAAAATATGCAAAAATATGCAAAAATATGCAAAATATGCAAACATATGCAAACATATGCAAAAATATGCAAAATATGCAAAAATATGCAAAATATGCAAAAATATGCAAAATATGCAAACATATGCAAAATATGCAAACATATGCAAAATATGCAAAAATATGCAAAATATGCAAACATATGCAAACATATGCAAAATATGCAAACATATGCAAAATATGCAAAAATATGCAAACATATGCAAAATATGCAAAAATATGCAAAATATATGCAAAATATGCAAAAATATGCAAAAAATATGCACGGTATGCTAGGTCGCAATATTAAAGATAGAACTTTGAAATTTTGCACATATATTATTATTACTCCTAGGATGTTTGGTATTGGAAATGGGATATATCGGTCCACGTTTTAGTATATCGCCATATAACGGTTATATATGTTTGCATGTTTTATACATATATTTAGCAAATTTTTCATAATGCCCCAAAAATCTAACAGTTGAACCATGAAACGCATACATACACAATTAGATTTCTATAGGTTTTTGCATATTTTGCCTATATTTTGCATATTTTATGCTTATATTTTGCATATTTATTGCATATCGACCTAGCATATTTTGCATATATTTTGCATATTTTTTGCATATTTTGCATATTTTTTGCATATTTTGCATATTTTTTGCATATTTTGCATATTTTTTGCATATCTCGTGCATATGCAAAATATGCAAATATGCAAAAAATTAAAAAATATGAACCCTTCAAATAATTCTAAATCCTTTGAAACGAATTTGTGTCCAATCAGAATTTCGATATCTTCATTATTAAAAAATATGCAAATATGCAAAATCCGAGGTCTAATTATAATGTTGTTTTCTCGGATTTGTAGAAAATTGCGACAACATATTAACAAGCCTACTATGCAGTGATATGTACAATAAATATCTAATTAGTTCTTGATATAGCATTTCGTCAACTGTTTCATTTTCTCCTACAATTTGTGGTTCTTTTTCTAATTTCATATTCAGCATGACTTGATGACAAAGCTTCTTTAATTGACATATCAATCGAATATGGTTGATGAAAAAAGTATGGATCCAACTTTTTTCATCAACCATATTCGATTGATATGTGCCGCGAGTTCACTCATAGGTTAGATTAGGGATGTACGGCTGTTATAACAGCCGTATAGGTATACCAATAAAGAGAAGAAAAAAAAAAAATAGTGGAAGAGTAGAGAGAGAAATAGTGAGAAAGGGGAAGCGGAAGAGACATTATTTTAGCCAAGTCAATTTTTTGAGAAAGCCTAGAATTTGTTTAGGGTCTATTTTGGAGAAGAAGACTAGATTATCAATTTCATAGCATCCAAACTGTTTATGTCTTCTGCTGATTAGCGATGGACATTTGCCTCACATAGACGACAGTAATCCTCTCCACTGGGGTCCCACTTAGAAGTGAGAGATCTAACTTTGCAGTGACCAGCAATGATCCCCACAACGATTTTGATCTCCCTCTTGCTGTGATCCAGCAGCGAAGACGTTCTTTTACGAGAGAATTCTGGCCAGATAGATTTAGAGATTCTGCAAGCAGGTTCCCTCAGCCATCTGTTGCCGACTACCTCGCAATGGAACGCGCGGATTCTGCCAATGAAATAGATCTCTCAATCAGAAGACTGGACGACTGTGACCCCCCTCGAGCAAGCTCGTCGGCTATTTCATTCCCTTCAATATCATTATGCCCTGGAACCCAGCATAGCCCAACTATCTGTCGTATATCATTCAGAGCGGTCTTACAATCATGAACTGCTTTCGAGTTTATAGTATGCGACTTCACCGCTTTCAGGGCCGCCTGACTATCTACGTAGATAGTCACCGGTCCCGTAATGTCGGTATTAAGTGCTTTTACTATCTCGGCCGCTTTCGTGATTGCAAGAATCTCTGCTTGAAAAACGCTACAATCATTGTTGAGTTTATATGAGTTCTGTATACCTAATTCCCTGCAGTAGACGCCTGCGCCAGTGCCTTCCTCCATCTTGGACCCGTCTGTGAAGATTGACAGACCTGGTAGAGGTAGGATTGCCTGCTAGGAAATTCAACTTTTATGTCATTAAAGTCCCTATGAGGGGGAATATAATCACTGTTATGACTATCCCCCCTAAAAAGGCCATAACCTGGCGTTATGTTTAGGATGCTGGCATGACCATAGTTCAGCGATTTCAAGGCATCTGTTTCCCGGAGTCTCAGGGCACACCTTGCCGCCTGGAATTTGATCAGAATATCCAAAGGTTGGAGATTCAAGATTGCATTCAAGGCTGCCTGTGGTGTGCTTCTTAGTGCTCCGGTGATCAGAATCGAAGCCGATCGCTGTACTAGGCTCAGTTTTGCCAGCAGCTTCTTTTTATTCACCCCCTGCCACCAGACAAGACATCCATAAGTAAGTATGGGTAAGACGATCGTCGTATACAGCCAGTGTATAATTCCGGGTCTCAATCCCCAACTCTTGCCTATGGAGTTCTTGCATGAATAGAGTGCCAGCAATCCCTTCTTGGAGCGTTCCTCGACATTCCTATTCCACAGTAACTTGCGGTCTAGGACAGTACCGAGATATTTAGCTTCATCAGAAAGGGTTAAAGTCACTCCACCAAGTGATGGCAGGCGGAAACTAGGAATTTTGTATTTCCTAGTGAAGAGCACCAATTCGGTTTCAGTGGGGTTTACACCAAGACCTTTGGTGCAAGCCCAATTTGACAGGGTTGAAAGCGCACCCTCCAGGATGTCTGATATTGTCGTTATAAACTTACCCCCAACCAACAAGACTACATCATCGGCATAGGCTACAACCTTTATCCTGAGATGTTTGAATTTCAAAAGTATCTCTTTTATCACCAGAAGTCACAAAAGGGGGGAAAGTACTCCTCCCTGAGGTGTGCCTCTGTTGACAGATTTCCACACGGAACTCTCTCCTAAGGATGAGTTGATAATTCTGCTTTCCAGCATTTTATCAATCCATTCCGTAAGGTGTGAGGGGATACCTATGTCTACAAGAGCAGAATGGATTGCCTCTAGCTTCACATTGTTGAAAGCTCCTAC